TTTAGCCCTCTTTACCTTTACCTTACCCTACCTAGTACTTTCTCTTTTCCTTCGTTCCCCTTAGACCCCCTCGTCCTTTAGTATCTAGATACTACTATTGCCGTTAGCGTAGGTATATCTTTAGGTATATAAAGCAGTTACTATTAAATTACCCAGCTGCTTTTTTATTATTACTTTAAGAAGTAAAGGAAGGTATAGGGCTTAATATAAAAGAAGACTAACCTCTCCTTTATTTAATTGTTTTTCTAACTTCTATCTAACGCTTATAAAAGACGGTTCCTATAAAGTATTTATAGTAGGCCGGCTCTTTAAGCTATAGCTATTAGTAAGGAAGGTATATAAAAGAGACCTCCTAGACCTACTAGTAAACTAAAAGTAGCTAGAAAGACACCCTTTTAGAGACTAGTTTTTCTAGGCCTAAAAAGACTACCTAGCCTTATATAATAAGATAGGGTCTTTTAAAGAGGTCCTTAAGGAAAAGGTAAGAGGAAAATAAGTCCTTAGCTATAAGTAGGTCTTTATCTATAAGACTAATAAATATAGCTTCCTTTAGAAATATAAAGCCTAGCTAGTTATTTATAGGAATTAATAGGAAAAAGAGGATCTACCTATTAAAGTAACTACCTTAGTAGGGATGTCTTTTTAGACCCTTATAGCTATAGTAGTAGAATTTAACCTCGAGCTCGATTAAATAGATATAGTTAACGCCTTTATTAACTACCCTCTCTAAGAAAAAGAAGTTATTTATATACGCCTTTTACTAGGCTTTTAATAGCTAGGAAAGGTTCTATAGCTTAGGAAAGCTCTATATAGACTATAAGGATTACCCCTTCTTTAGTAATAGTATTTAATAAGTTCCCTTAAAGCCCTAAGATTTAAGAAAGTCCCTTAAGAACCGTTTATAATATAGAAGGGTAAAATCACGGTCTTCTTTTACGTCGACGATATTATCTAAGCCTACTTAAAAGAGGAAGAAGTAACTACTAAGGAGGCTATAAAAGGCCTATAATAAAGGTATAAGATAACTAGGCTAGGGGAGCTAAAGTAGTTCCTAGGGATATAAATCCTTTAAAATAGGTCCTAATAGACTATCTAGCTTACCTAGGACGCTTATATCGATAAGGTCGCTTATAAATTCCTCCTTAATTCCCTTAATAAGACGCTTCCCTCTACGCCTATATTAGATAAAGAGCTTTTACTTAATCCGTCCTTTTAAGCTAGGGAGTAAGAGAAACACTAATATTAATAGATAGTAGGCTCCCTACTTCTTTTAGCTACGTATAAAAAAAGAATATTTTAGAGCGAGCTACTATATAAGCTACTACGAAAATTCTACTCTTAGTTAAGTCCTATTTTAGTTAAAGTATTTATCTAAATAATTTTAGGAGATAGGACTATATTAAAAGGGTATTTTATAAAGTACTTATAATAAACTATATAACCTAAAGATATATCTTTACTCTTAAATCTTAAACTAAATTTCTCTTATACTTATTATTTAGTACTTTATAAAATAAGTAGATATTAAACTTTAGCTTAGTAAGCTAAGGAAGCTAAATATAAATATATATCTTATAAAATAGTAAAAAAGAATAATTTAATTTATAGCTTACTAAGAAATAACTTATATTATATTTATTACTTATCTATATCTTATTTTATTATTATTATTATAGCCCCTATTATCGCTAATAATAAGATAATACTAGTAATAAACAATTATATATTATAAGAAGTATATAATATATAACCTATTATAGATATATAACTTATTTCTATTATATTACTATCTTAGTTATTACTAGTAATAAATATAATATTAGCTATATCTAGATCTAGATTTTTATTTATATATAATAGTAACCTAACCTCCCCTTTAGCTATAATATTACTATATTTACTTATAGATAAGTAATAAATTAGATTATTTATTTTACTATTATAACTATTAATTATAGCTATATAGTAAGGCAATATCGGCTATAGTATATAATTTAATAGTATTATTATAAATAATACTAATAGAATACTATTTTAATTATTACTTTATAATTTACTTATTCTTATATTAATTAATATTAAAATAAATAAAAGTAATATAGATACGGCCTCTATATATATAATTAAGTAAAAAACTCCTATAAATATTAATCCTAATAATATTAAATAAAGAGAAATAGATATAAATAATCCTATTAAAGATATAAGAGATACTATAAGAATTTTATTAATTATAATAGTTATACTAAAAAATAATATAATTATACTTAAAACATCTAGATATTCTACTATATAACTATTAGAAAATATATTATATAAAGTTAAAAGATTAAGACCTATTTAACTACTAGCTTTATCTTTTAAAACCTAAATATAGGACTAAATATATTATACTAAGCTATATTAAAACTATTATTTAGTTAAGGGGTTTTAACTATAAGCGTAGCTAGTTAGACTTAAACTAATATATCTAAAGCGGAAATCTATAGGTCTACTATTAATTTATAGCCGCTTAAAATATATCTATTTATAATTTATTTTTTATTATAAAAAGAATTTAAATATAAAATTAAGTATTATTTTAATATATAAGTTATTAAATAGAAAGTCTTTATTATAATCTCTATAATAATCTATTTTTAAACTATTATTATAAGCTATTTTATTATATTTACTATTATTATTATTTATTTTCGGACGTTTATTATTATAATCCTTATCTAAATTTAAACTACTCCCTCCTCTTTTTACTCCTTTACCTTTATCCTTAGTATTATTATTAAATTATTAAGGCGTAAGCTTATCCTTAGATTCTAATTAACTATTATTTAATTTTAATTTAGCTTTATCTTTAGGTTAGTATAGTTGTCGCGAAGCGTGGCCTGATTTCGTAGTTCTTAGAGATATCCCTTAGCACGAGGGACCAAGGGAGCTAAAAACACCCGGTATAGAAGAAGGAAGAAGGAGCTAAAAAGAGGTGTAGAAAGGAGGGTAGGGGCATAAGGGGAAGCAGAAGTAGCGATGGCTTCCTATAGAGGTAGCGAAAGATAAGACGGATGTGCCGGCAACGGCTAGAAAAGAGGGGAAAAACCGGCAAAAAGCTCGGTAGTCGAAAGGACATTAGTAGCTTCTTTAAGCAGGATCTTCTTTGTTAATTAAGATGCTAGATAGGTATAAAGAGGGGCGTTAGATAGAGGAAAGAAGGACAATTAAGGCAATATAATAATCACTCCCCTACCTTTATTACTGCTCTTATAAGAATTAAATCCCTCTGCCCTGCCTGTCTAACCCCTTACTTCTAAATTTTACCTTCGTGCATTTTATATATACTTCTCGCATCTCTCTTCGCGAGAATAGTAGAGTAGGATTACTAGGTTTAAGTTAAGATAATTCCGATAAAGATTTTTATAAAGGAGATAGTAATTTACTTCTAGATCTATCTAGTAAACTATATATATTTAAAATATTATCTTACTTACTACCTTTATAATATTTACTTTATATATAAAAACTAGGTAAACGGTACCTATTACTACTTATAGATTCTACCTTACTAAGTAATATTCTACGCTTAGTTAATCGACTATATATTTTACTCTACTAAATCCTATCTTAACTATAATTACGATCTTAATAACTACTATCTAATATATATATAGAATCTAATCTATTTAGTAGTTCTCTATATAGTAAATTATAAGGATTATTAGGTATTTCTCCTTTTAGTATAGTATTAGAACCCGATCTATTAGATATTTCTTCTTCTAATATATTATTAGATTCCGTTCTATTTAGCGTTATACTATAATAAGGTATAGTACTAAAATATCTTATAGATTATTTATTATTTATAATTTTATTATTTATTTTTTCTATCTTTTATTCCGTTTTAATTATTATTCTTCCTCTTAGTCTATAAATATATATATATATATATTATAGTATACTAAGACCCTTAGTAATATATAGATATATAAGAATAGTTATATAATATCTATAAAATATTAGTATAGTATTCCTCCTTTATATCCTAAATAATAGTAATCTATTAAATAATAGGCTAATATTCTTTATAGACCTACTACTATAAATATTATACCTATAATAATATAAAACCTATAAAACCTTATTCTAAAAAAGAAATAAGTACTAAATATATTATTACTTATAGTAAATAAAGAAATACTATATTCTATTACTTAGAATAAAGTAAATACTAATGCTAATACTACTATAAAAATTATACTATATATAGTACCTTTTCTATCCCTTTTAATTAAAGAGTAGTAGGCGTATATAGTTATTACTCTACTAGATAATAATATTACTATATTTAATAAAGGTAATTTAAAAGGATTAATAGGTTCTATTCCTATTAAAGGTTATTAAGCTCCTAATTCTACTATTAGTATTAAAGCACTATAAAAATAAGCTTAAAAAATAGCTACGAAAAAAAAAGCTTTAGATACTATAAATAATATAACTCTTAAATTTAAACCTTTTTATACTATAAGAGGATAATTACCTAGGTATATTACTATAAAAATATATTACTATATTTATTAGACTATATTTTAATTAATAGTTATAATTAACGTATTAATCTTTAACCTATAGTCTCTAAAGACCCTAAGAAATATTTATCTATTCCTTAGTTTCCTACTAATCGTCTTAAAAGGGTTTTCTAGCAATTAATTAAATTTAAATAAAGTATAAAGATATTATACCTTCTAAGATTATGTCTTTAAATTATAATATTATAGATATAATTACTATAGTTAAAGCTATATAGAATAATATATAACTATTATTAAAAAGATATATAAATAATACTATATTTATTATTAAAGTAGATAATAATATACTAATATAGAATAGTTAAGGAGAAGGTAAAACTAAATAAAAAGGATAATCTTAAAAATTACTTCGCACTAAATATATTATATATATAAATAATAAAAATACTATAGTTTTTAAGTTATAAATTCTTTTTATTTAAAAGCCTCTAAGATAAATCGAATATCTTTAAACGTTATTAATAGTAACGCGCTTTACCGTTAAGCTATAAAAGCTTCTTATAAATTAAGATTATTTTTAGCTTTTATACGACTATAAAAGACTATTACGGTATATATAGAAAGAAATTAAAAGTATAAAGCTTCGCGCTTTATAGCGGTAATAAAAAAAATTTATTAACCCTTTATTATATAAAAGCTATATATAAAGTAAGGCTTAAGATACTTAAGCTCTTTATTTTTATATTAAGTATAATTTATAGGTAAAGGATAGTTAAGTTTATAGAGAAAGACGCTATATTTTAGTTTATATAAAAATAGATATATATATATTAAAAGTAGTATATAAGAATAGCTTATATATAAAATTAATAATAAAACTATAGGGATAATAAAGGTTAGTCCGATTCTTAGTTAGAATTCGTTATTAATTTTATAGCGAAGCTAGTATATATAAGCTAGCCTAAACTAAGAAGCTAAATAATAAAAGTTTATATAAAGCTATTCTTTAATATTAATTAGATATTTATAATTATTATTTACTTAAAGCGGAAAAAAGGTAACTTAAATACTTAAATCTAAAAAGATACTATTTAGTAAATAGCTTACCTTACCTATAGTAACTTTTCCTTATAATCGCTTACTATATTTTTTATTATTAGCTTATACTAAAGTAAGAAAAGTTTATTCTATTTATTATTATATTTGTTTTATACTAAGTAGCTAGCCTTATAGATCTAGTATAATAACCTAATCTTTCTTAGATTATAAGGGTAAGGCTATAAATATAGCTACTATATTATAGATAGACTATTATTTTATATAAATACTTAAGATTTTTAGGAGTTAGCCTTAGGGATATAATAAGCTATAATTTATTATTTAGAATAATAAATATAGGATAAGAGTAAATAAAGTACCCTTATAAAACTTATTATAACTTTTAGGGATTATCTAACTAATTAATAGTAACTTATCCTCTTATATTATTTATTATTATTTAAACTAAATCGGATTTAAACTAATATTTATTATCGTAATAGGATAACCCTTTACTAATTAAGTTACTAATTCTAGTAGTTATTATATATAAATATAGGAGATAAGAGATTTAAACTCTTAAAAGTTATAGCTATTAAGTTTATAGCTTAACCTTTCTTACTAATAAAAGAACCCTCCTTTATATAAAAAAATATAAAATCATAGTTTATATTAATTAATCCTATATAACTTCTACTATATAAACCGTATTTTAACTTAATACTAATTAGAACTACGTATATAAAGAACCCCGATAATAAATAGCTTTAGTACTATTTATAGATATAATATCTATATAAAACCTATATGTTTTCTTTACTAATTACTAAGAAAGTAAACTTATTATATAAGCTCTTTTTAATATATAATAAGTAGTTAGTACTAATCTAAGATTTATTTACTATAATATAGTAATTTACGATTACTAGTAATTACTTATTTATATAGTTAAATTTTAGACTATAATCCTTAAAATTTTTATCTTATTTTTTAAGATTAGCTTAAATTTATATTTTTATATCTCTTTATATCGGAATATATAGTATGTTTATAGCCTATAATATAAAGGCTATAATAACTTATCTTTATCCCCTTTTTCTATTTAAATCTCTAGGATCTAATACTTTATTATAGAATTTTAAAAATAAAGCTAGGGATTTCGTTAATTTTATAGAAACTATAGTTTTATAATATTAACTAAAAACAGCTATATAACTCCTATAATATTATTATATAAATTATAGTAAGGTTTTTTATAGATTATTAAATTAAATAGTATACTTTACTATTATTATTAGAAACGGTCTAGTAATTTTAGTTCCTACGTTACTATATTACTCTTAAGGTAGAATGCTTATACTTTTATTTATAGACTAAATAATATTTAATATTAATTAGTTACTAACGAACTAAATTATTAAATTATTTATCTAATCTATAGTATTTATTATTTACTATAAAAACTACTAGGGTATCTAATCCTATTTATTCTTTATACCTTTATCCCTTAACGTTAGTTTTAACTTAAAGGGGTGCCTTTACCTTTACTAAGTCCCTTTAGTATTAAAGAATTTTATCTCTCCTCCTTAAGTACTCCCCTCTTATATAAAACTCTAGTTAAGTACTAATATTATATAAGCTATATTAACCGTCTAGGTACCCTTTAAACCTAATTAAGATAAATAATACTAGTCTCTTACGTATTACTATAACTACTAGTATATAATTAGTTAAGATATAATATATATATTATTATTATTAATATATAAATAAAGCTTTATTTAATTTTAATATAATCCTATAGATTATCTTTTAAGATATAATTAAAATAGGACTTACTACTTCTCTAAGTTACTAGTTTAGCTATTAGGCTATTAACTAAAATTCCTTACTACTATACTAATTTATATAGGGGTTTTTTTAGACCTAATATAGTCTATTAACCTTTTAGATTCGACTATAAGAGTTATCGGCTAGTAAAGTTATTACCTTAACTACTACCTATCTTAAAGATATTTATTATCCTCTTAAAGTAAGAACTATATCCCTTTATTTATTATAAAGGATTTACCTTCTCTTTAAGGTCAGCGAATTATATCTTTATACTTACTTATATACTACTTTTTAATTAATAGCCTTAAAGATTATAAGTTACTTAAAATTAAAAATTAAAACATACGATTAGTATATATTAAGTACTTAGATAGTATTTAATTAGAGCTATTACTAAACTTAACTATTATTTTTTAATATACTTTTTACTTATATAAAACACTAAACGTTCTTTTAATAAAATAAATGTTTATTATATTACTATAAGTTCTAATAATTTAAATATAAGGAGAGTAATAGATTATATAATATTCTATTTATAAATACTATACTAATAAAAAAATTATTTATTCGCTTTATATATATACTAAGTCTTACCTTTAAAGCTAGACTTTAAATAATAAACTATTTATAAGCGGCTTTATTATAGAAGCTACTAAGCCTACTATAGATTCTATAGTAATAACTAGAGTAATAGCTATAGTAGCTAAGATATATAAGTACTAATTTCTACTATTATTTATAAATTTTTATTCTTCCTTATAAAGATAAATTTTTATTATTTATATAATTTTCCTTACTTACTTTTTACTCTTACTTATACTTTTAGGTAGCTAAGTAGTATATAAATAGCTTTAGCAAAAAAAAAATTTTAAGCTATTAATTTTATATATATTTTTAGATATTATATATAATATATTAAGGCGCGCTTTATTATAAGCTATAGTATTTTATTTATATAAAGTAGTACTTTTACGTAAGTTATAACTAGATAATACTACTAATACTAAGGACTAGCTACTTATATCCTTCTATATAATAAGCTTTTTATAGGTATATATAGGTACGTATAAAATAAAGGGTATATTATCTACGCTCTTTACTTAAATTTATAAGAGAAAGTAGTAGCGTTATAACTAAAATAGACTAATAACTAGCGACCTACCTTACTAAACTATAAAATATTAATATAAGTTTAGTCTATCTTTTATATAAGAACTTATTAATACTATAAAAACTTAAGCTTAGATTAAGGTAATTATTATCTTTAAACTAAAGAAGGCTATAAGAGTCTTTAACTATTATAGGTAATAGGCTTAGGCCGCGGCCTAAGCCGTATAGTTATATATAAAGGGCCGGATCCTATAAGTATAAGGGCGGGCTAGCCGCGTATAGAAGAGCTCTATATAGCTTATTAATATTATACTATAGACGGCACCTACGTATATACCTCTGCCTACTCCGTAATAGTATAAGCTATTAACTAATAGATCTAATAGATATCTCCTTAGAAAGGGTGCCGCTTCCCTAAGGGAGTACCCCGCTACCCCTTAAGCGGATAGGAAGTATTATAGCTATCCTAGAAGCGATTAAAAGCGCGACGGCTAGCGAGAAGAATAAGGTTCTCGCTATACTAAGGGAGCCGTCTATAAGACTAGCGTTAACCCCTATAACCTTAGCAATACCGGTTACGGCGGCGGCACTACCGATATAAAAGCCGCTTCCCTAACCGACTTAGGATAGTAAGCTTAAGTCCTTTTACTTCTTCCTTAGCCGGCTATAAATAAAGTTTATAATAGACGAGAAATAGGGCCTAAACGGCTATCGTAATATAGCGTAGTATTCGCTCCTCTATACGCTACTAGAGCCCTAGATATAGCGGATCTCTAGATTCTAAGATAAGGGCGGCCCTAGAGGTAGACGCAACCTATAGGACTTCTTTTAATACCTTATATATACGTTCGGCAACGTATAGGAGTAGGAGAAGGCATAGGATAGGCTATAGACCCTTAAGTAGAGGGATAAGTAGACCTTTAGTAAATTCCTCCTTAACTTTAAAGAGACGCTCTTATAAGTAGCGGGAACTATAGTATAGGAAGATAGCGCGAAGCTTATATAGTTATCGAACTTAATTATACTAGCCCTATAGGAGCTACTTATCCTTATAATTATACCTACTAACTATAGCGAGTATATAAGCCGGTTAATAAAGGTAGTATAAGGCTATAAGTAGACGCCGCGTTTCTAGAAGCTTTATAAGCGTACGCCGTATAGCGGCGATAAGATTACCGCCCCTCTATAAAAGGAATAGCTAACTATCGATACTAATAGAGATACCTTAATATCGGCTACCTATATAAACCGAGCTAAACGCGGTAGGAAGTCGTCTTTAAATATCCCCTATACTATCCCGCTCTTTAAGTAGTAGGCGAAGTAGGTAATAAGCGAGGAAATTAAGAAAAGGAAGGCTAACGGCCGCTACCTACGTTACGGCGCGTCTATATACTTTATATTAAAATGCCCCTTCCTTTTAGCTAAGCGGCCTATAATAGTTCGAGTAGCGAAGATAGAACCGCTCCTTACCTTAAACGATAAAGAGGACTCCGCTCCCTTAGGCCTAAAGGAAAAAGAGTAGCTCTAGAGTAAAGATAGGCTCTAGAGCCCTAATTACTAGCACTAGTAAA